TTTCAAACTGAAATACCTGTCCATTGCTGGGGTGAGGGGTCAATGCCATGGTGATGGAAGTGGTTGTGGTGGTGGGGCTGGTTGAGTGCTGGCCTCATGCCTTGTCGCAGTTTGCACGTGATGTTTAGTTTTTTGGGGGGATCTCGGTGGCCGCCTAGTGGAATGCTGTAACATACGTCTGTCTGTAGCAGCATGTCGTGGCGGTAGACTAAAAAATTTACAGTGGTGTTAGGTTGTTTGTGTTTGAACTACGCAGGTTTATTGTTTTGTTGTGTTTGGTTTTTGTTGTTGGTTTATTTTAGCTACCTTGTTTCCCAAGATGGTTTGGGGGTGAGGGAGGAGGGGGTGGATGTTAGTTGGGGAAGGGGAAGGGGGATTCTTGGAGGGTTGGTTGGATCCTTTGTTTTTGTTTCATTTTGGTTTTGGGTTTTTTTTTAATTGATTTTTTATTTAAGTTGGTTGCGCGGGGGGTGCTGGTGTTGAGTCAGTGGTAAACATAATTAAAGATGGGAGTAGGATCAAATAAAGGGTGGGTCTTTTTGCGTTTGCTTGTTGGTTTGTTCGTTCGTTTGTTCGTTCGTTTTTTTATGGAAAGGGGCGGGGAGTGCAATTTGCTTCGTGTACCTCTGCAATAACGAGGGAGGTTCCTGCTTTGGCATATTCAGAAATGGTGGATGTGGATTTGGGGGTAGTGTTGAAAGCACAAAACGGTACAAGTGTTTGGATTTAGAATTTTGAAACGTGATATTTATTTTTTTAAATACAAACAAAAATCGTCTAGAAGACACTTTTAGTATATTCGATCGTGGCTGGTTTATTTAGAATTTTTTGCTCCTTTTTCAAAATTATATCACTTATCTTTTTGCACTGTGCATTAAATTCACAGTTTGGCATGAACAAGTATTATACTTGTATATATCTGAAGGACTTTTTGAATATATACTCTGTCACAATTTTAAGTATACACTGTGTTAAAATGAAAATAGCTAGTTTCACAATGAGTCGATATTCTTTAAAATTTCAGGAATACGAATTCAATCAATTTTAAAAACGAAAAAAGCAACAAAAATACGGAATGTTAACATAACAGGTTTATTCACGACTTACAAGAGTGTGGGGGTAGTCTACAAAAGTAACACGATCAGTAGCTTTGATGACGGCCTGACATCGTCGCCGCCTTGAATCAATCTATCGCTACACTTCCTGTTGAGGGATGTTATTCCACTCTTCATGCGATGCTCTCTCAAGTAGAGGAAGTGTCTACGGCTGGGGTTGTCGCATGTTGTTCAACTCATCTTTGGTTCTTCTTGCCGTTTTGAAACGATTCCGTAGATGCGACAGGCGTATTAAAAGATCATCTCATGAAGTAGTTCTTCTTCTCCCACGTTGGCAGTGTCGATCCTTTCCTGATTTTGTTGTTTTCTCACGATCCATTGTTGTGTACACAGTTCTTTGTGTTACATTAAAATGTCTCGCAACAGTGAATACTAAAGGTGACAATCCATATGTGCGGGACGGCAGCGGCAGCGGCACGGCAGCGGGACGATACAAATCGTTCCAACGGAAATATCAATGACTGAATCCATAAGTGCGGAACGGCAGCGGGACGATAAAAATCGCACTCAGGAGCGATTCTGCCGCTGCCGCAGCTCTGCCGCAGACAAAAATATGAATGTGGCGGAATAGGGTTGACTGTGTGATGCAGTCAATTCATTTGACACGGAAAACTTGCTGAAACAATTGCACCCCTATGTTGTCGTTCATCCACCCATTTTCTTTATATGCCCAAATGGTGCCTTCTGGGCTGTCCTGAATGGCAAAGGAATGGACGGAGCTGTTCATTATGCTAGTGACAAAAGATTAAGATAATCATCATCAGCAGTATTCGTTCTGGTTTCATTAACCTAGACAGTTTTGACTGGGTAGGTGCCATGCTGCTCAAAACAAAAAAAGGCGCCAACATGCCTTCCCTTTTTGAATTTGCCAATTGCGATATCGCACATTTCGTCCCGCTGCCGTTCCGCTGCCACACATATGGATTTAATGTGACTTGCGGTACCGCACATATCGTCCCGCTGCTGTGCCGCTGCCGTCCCGCACATATGGATTGCTACCTTAAGGCACCCCCGCGGATCACTCCAACAAGCTGATTTCACACATTTTCTCGTAGGGCGTGACATCATGAAACGTAGACAAAACAAGTTTTGTCACTGGCGAATTGTTACAAAAATGACAAAGCTTTGATGGGTGCTTCTTTTTTAAACAAATCATTGTCGTATTATGATTAATTCTCAAAAAACACGAAACATGTAACTCGTATGCAGTTACAAAACCACTCGCGCGTTCTGAAATCTGAAAACAGCTCACCAGCGACAGGAATATCACGTAATCAGTGTGTAAATTTGAAAGTAATTATTTGCTTAGATTTTGTTTTATTGAGCTTCAAAATGTGTTTACTTAAAAATGTGACAGAGTATATTACGTGACTGCATGTGCTCACAAATGCGCATTTGCGCATGTAGGTGTTTGGGTTTGATTATATGTATGTGTGTGTAGTGTATGAAAGTGTGTGTGTGGAAGGGGAAGACTGATGGTGAAAGTAAATATGGACAATTTTTAGGAGGTAAAGCAAGAAAACCCTGTCTTTGTGATTTAAGTGTGCTTTTGTGTGTGTGTGTGTGTGTGTGTGTGTGTGTGTGTGTGTGTGTGTGTGTGTGTGTGTGTGTGTGTGTGTGTGTGTGTGTGTGTGTGTGTACGTATGTGTGCGTGCGTGTGCGTGCTTGCGTGCGTGTGTGTGTGCGCGGGCGGGCACATGCGTGTACATCTGTCTCTGTATTCTAACGAAAGCATACAAATAGGGAAAGAAGTTCAAACGTGTAACGTACTATTTTTCAAAGGTCTGAAGTGGCATGCAGTATGGGGGGGGGGGGGGGGGCAGGCATGATTTTCTTTCGCTTATGACAAATGTAGGCGACATTGTTTCACCAAACTCAGTCTATTATTGTAATCATGGATGCAAGCTTTTTATAAAGCGTGTCACGGAAGCTTAGTTCACATATTTTAAGCATGTATCATATAAATATGTTATATGAAAGAGTGACAGATGTATAGAGTCACGGTACTTTCAAAACAAAATCGGGTTCCATGGGGGGGTTCTTTTCAAACAGAATGATGAAATCAATATCAGTGACATAGTTTACAACGTATAAGTCAATAGACTGTCTATTTTGTAACTCTTTTCGCTGTGGCGTGCAGGCGATGTGAGGACCTGGGCACTGTATTTTATCGAGTATCTCCGTCTGTCTACTGAGATGCAATAGATTGCCCCTCCTTGGTTGGTCCTGAGTCCTGACAGGCAGAGTCAAAGCAGCCCGACTCTTAACTCATGTAAATAGTGTTGATTTGGGGGCGGGGGAGGGGGAATTTATGGCCATTTGCAATCATAGTCAAGTCTGCTAGGCAAACTTCGTTTTCAATAAAAGAAACGACAACAAAAACATAAATTTCGCAGGTGGTTGGAGGGCGCCACTGGTAGATCCTACTTCATGTTTTCTTTCCCTGGATTATTATTTCTGTCTGCTTGTCTTACTTTTTCCAGCACTAAATGACCATTGTTGTGTCGTTGTACATCTCTTTACTTAAACAAAATTAACAAACTTAGTTTATTACAACAGTAGCACAAAAAACGACAACAGCGCCAAATTCAACTGGAAGTGGGTTGCTTTTCTTTCGTATTAGCTTCAAGGAAATATATAGGTCATGTATATTGAGTTTATTCGTTTAGTCCCTTAGAGTAGAGCATGGTAAGTTTTTGTTTTTTTTGTTTCGTATTTGTTTTTCCTTTACTTTTATTTCGAGAGGGATATGCATGATTTCAAAATTGACATGTGTAGTATACGCCAAGTCGTTTTGTACCCAAGAAACCCTTTCAGCGAAGTGATCTACCTTTTGTTGACAATGTAGCAAAATACTCAATAAAAAGAACTTACAAAGTGGAAAATGAAAGGATAATCTAAGAGTACACTACTGGTTGTTTAAGTGAGAAAAAAATGGTATGTAATAATATGAAATAAAAAACACACTTATACACTATGTTGTGGGGAACAATCATTAAAATTTGGCCGCTGTCTCCAAAAAAGTTTTTGAACCAGTTAAAAGTTTTGAAAGTTTTTTTCTTCAGTAGTCCCCATTTCTGCCTTTTGTAGTAGAATTGGTATCTTTTGAAATTAATAAACTGATGTATTGAATGATAAAAAAGCAGATACTTCTCTGCAAGCCAAAACTAAAATTTATTAGAAAATGTAAAGTGTCCTAAAAAGCTTTTCAAGTAGGTTATTCTGCTTTAGATCAATGGTGTCTGTGGTGTAGTTATAGGCTTTTGTCTGTTGTCATAAAGGATTTTGATATAAATTCATGTACGTGAAAGATGTTTTGTCAAGTATTTTCTTCCTGTCCAGATAAAATACTCCTTACGCAGTCACCCTGCTTCATAATGTAGTACAGTGGTTTTTTGTGTTGATCGGGGTGTGAATCATTAACAATTCCTTGTGAACAATTTTCCGGTGGTGTTTTGTTTACAATGTACATACATGAAAAGTTTCATGGTTCACAAAAAAAAAAAAGAATCTGTTTCTTTCATGTGACTTATACTTGGGTTATTATTTATTTATTGAGTCTGGCAGTTTCACAGTTCTTACTGATGTTTTATACCCTCTTCTATAGAGAGATTCTGAGACCAAGATGTCGGTGTGCTTTCCAAAGTCTTAAATGTCTTCATAATGTGTCCCTGAGACCGTGCTAGCTGTACATGACTGGTTTCCATTTGGTGAAAGTCATGTGGTGCAGGACTAGCATCTATGGTTGTAAAAGCTCTTCACCGTTGTGCACAAAAGATTTGGGTTCGATTCCAGTACAGGGAAATCTGATTTTTTATAGACTATCTCTGTCTTTCTGCAAGGATGCTGTGCCAGTTTCAGCCGGGATTGACTCTGACAGGCAGGGCAAAACATCACGCCTCCTAAACTGTTTAAATTATCGATAAGGGCATAGAACATTTACAGTTGAAAGTCAAAGTTGTAGAGTACATAGATGACCATGCGGGTTTTCTTTTTTCTTTTTTTTTTTAAAGTAAGTATTTTACGGCGCTTGCAGTTGCATAAGGTCATATGAGCATGCGGGACACGTTTTCAATTGGTAGGATATTTTGAATTTTGCCCTGATGGCGGCCGAAGCCTACTCTTATCGATTTTGGACCACCAAGGGATCTTCAACATTCGCAACTTGCACGCGTGACCTCCTAGATTTTTCACCCTTGTCCGAGAAGGCTAGGTGTAGATCTTTACCATCACGGTTGAGGAAGCATGATATTGCTAAGAGTACAAAATATGTTATGGAACTTTTCACAATATTTTGACTCTTATCCATACCTTAATTTCATTTCTTGGCTGGTGAGGGATATCATAAATGGCTTTCATTTTTCTTTTTTTTTAATTAATCATTGTCATCATTACTTCTTTTGTACCGGTTTCATCACACGTTGCATGGCATGCCCTCTACTCTTTTTTGTGTTTTTCTCTCTCTCTATCTCTCTGTGTTTGCCTGTTGCTGTGCATGGACTGGTTAGATCAGCGCAACGTTTGAGACCTTCGGCGTGGGACTATCACGCGAGTCTGTGTTTGTCGTAGAGCATGAGGCCAATTTTGCCAAGTTTCTTTCAGCCGGTAAAACAGGTATAGTAATAGAATAATGACACCATCACTGACTTTGCTTTTCTGTCTCTATCACTGAGAGGAACTTGTCGTTCTATCAGTTTTTCCACTTCTCTGTCTCATGATATTGTTTTTTTTAGGATTGTATTAGGTTTCAAACCTAATTCTCATCTTTACCCCAAGTATCAGATACATTGTATTTTCAAAATATGTAGGATGCTTCATATTTGTTTGGCAGCATTCACAAACATGTCATTCATTTAACTCAGATCAAGATATTATTATTTAAAGTATTTTTTTACCCTTTAATGAGAATGGAGAAAAATTCAGGTACTTTCAGAGCTTACTATCTCTCTACCAGGTCTGGGACTGCCTTGGGGTTGATCCCCATTTTAGTTGGATTAACCCTATCCGTACGTCGTGTTTAACTATTGTATCCATACAATGTGTGGGGAACTCTGTGCCGCCACTTTCCAAAGAGAAAATTTACTCATTGATCTGATCTGTACGCTTTGCATAGCAGTCTGTCGAAATTATTTTTTGAGAAATACTGAAAGTTTCAAAGAGATCTTTGTACTACAAGTTTTCTAAAATGTGAAGAATACAACTCTGGGGGTACAAAATGACCCCTGGGCGTATGGGTAGGGTTAAACAGTTTGCTTGAAAGTATATTAGCATCCTTTCTCAGTCTGCACATTCTCAGAATTCAGTCATGCATATATTAATGTTTGAAATATGTGTTATTACTATTTAGTATCCTCTTTACTCTAGTTAGAGAAATACGATAAGTCAGTTGGCTGATCAATGAATTGAAAGTGTAGATATTTGGTGTTTAACTTATTGATACCAGTTTTTCTCAGTGTATGGCATAATTGTTCTAGAAGCCGTAAAAATAATTTTATCTTTAATCATTGTTCATTGCTACGGTAAAATAGTGTTTTTGAAAATCTGATTGTAATAGGAAGCTCGTAATGGTATCATCAAACTTTTGTTATTATTTGTTTTTGAGGCTTTTTTTAAATTTTGAGACCAAAAAAATATATGTACTTAAACTTATTATGCTTTTTGGTTGGTCTTGTTTTTCATTGTTTCTCGGTAACATTGATCATGTGGTTTAGCCATGTTTTTGGGTTGTTTTTTTTTTTTTAAACAAATATTTAAACGCCCATGCTGTCATAACTCCGTGCCTTTGTAAAAGTTTTATAAAGTAAAACTTGAAAGATAATATGTCCGTACTTCTTTTAGTGTTGCAAAGATAAGACACGTGTTAACCTGCATTTTTCCTTTAGGTGAGACGAAAATCCAAAGTGTCGGGGAATGGCTGACAGACATTGGTCTGCCTCAGTACGAGAACACGTTGGTTGCTAACGGATTTGACGACACTGATTTTCTAGTAAGTTTTAACTGATTTTCGTGTATGTTTTACCTGATTTTTTTCCATAAGATTTCCTGAATTTGTTGTAAGTTACTACTGGTTTTCTAGAATGTTTGTACTGGTTTTCATGTAAGTTTTTACTTATTCTCATTTTAATTTTTTTTTCACTGGTTGTCATGTAAGTTTCTACTGATTTTGTTGTAACTTTTTACTGATAAATTTTGAAACAATTAGACCCTGGACACTACTTGTCGAAAGTTGCCTATTGATAATAAGTTTTACTTAACTTGTTGCATTCATTTGGACGTGTGTGTGAGTTGCATTAGATTAAATCTGTATGATCTATCTGTGGTGACTGGCATTGTAATATATCATCTTACCCCCCCCCCCCTCCCAACCCCCGTCCTTTTCCTAACAAGGGAACAAATATAATTGTTTACCTTGAACATGAAGAGCTTCATTATCTACAGATTCAGATTGATATAAATGTCACCTTTAGATATATGTGTTACTTTTATGTAGCCTGTAGATTTTACCTTTAGGTATGTTGATGCACTGTTTATGGTGGCTGGTAGGTCTTACTTCTTTTCTTTTTCTTTTTTTGATTGTTTGTCTGTCTTAATCTTTCCCTGTACTAAATGAATATTTTTGTGTCTCCCCTGTGCTTCTTTTTACTCAAACAAACCCTGTTTATGTTCTGCATTATTATCGCAATTGAATAATCATGTGCATACTTGAACTTGAACCTCCAGGGTGGAACAATATTAGAGGACCAAGATCTTTCAGCTATCGGAGTGGAGAGTGCTGCACACAGGAAAACTATCCTGGAAGCAGCGAGCAGATTATCAGCATTACAACCCTTAGGTATGTTGTGCTTGTTGATTCTGTTGTTACTGTAGTTGTAATAATATTATTAATAATCATAATCATAATCATCCTAATAATAATAATAGTAATAATAGTAATAATAATTAATAGTAATAAAAGTAATAATGATACTGCTGTTATTGTTCTATGACGGGTGTTGAGAATGTTTCGGATTTATAGGGCCTGTCAAGGTGATCATTGACTGACTTCGCACTTACATGCTACAATCTGGAAAGGATATATATATATACAGGTTATATCCAGTCTATATTTTATAATTATTGTTAATATACACATACTTTAAAATTGGTCCGGACTCATGGGAAAAAAAATATACACTGTTACATTTTTTTAAACTGGTGCATAAAGGGAAAAAAAGATGGAGAGAGTGTGTTTGCTCATACTTATGTGTGTGTGTGTGTGTGTGTGTGTGTGTGTGTATGTGTGTGTGTGGTGCACACACATGCATGTGTATGTCTGTATGTATGAGACAGAGTGAGAGAAAGAGAGAGAGACAGACAGAGACAGAGATATAAGACTCAGACAGGGAGAGAGAGACTGAATAATAAAGAAAGAGATATTAGGAGAAATGAGGCAAGAGAGATAAAAAGATACAGATAGAAAGAGGTAGTTGGAGACAGAGAGGTATACTGAGATTGAGGGGAGTGTGACATGTGTGGTCTTCCTCTGTGGCACAGACCCAGACAACCTTCCAGACTCGGTGGCCGACTGGCTGGGAGGGCTCCGGCTCGACTTCTACTACGACACGTTCATGACACACAAGTATGACACAATAGAGCGGGTCGTCAGGCTCTGGGAGCTCGAGCTGGTCACGGTAAGTTTAGGGGAATAATAATCAGGTTATAGCAAAGTTGCTGGGTTTTTTTTAGGTTTTATGTCTTTATGGGTTTTTTTTTCTTATTTGGTGGTTGGGGTGGGGGGTGTTCTCTTGGGTTTTTTGGGGGAAGGACGGTCTGCACATTGTCAGCCAGCTAATTTAATTTTTTTTTCTTTTATTTTCCTTAATTTGAATTTTCTTAATCTATTGCTTTGGTTGCATGCACTCGCTTGAAAAATATAGTAGTAGTTTCCTCAGAAGTTATCAGAGATGAATTTCAAGTTACATAAGCACACCGTATTGAGCTGTGATGTTGAAAGTAAGACATCAGAATTCTATATGAATTCAATTTCAATATTATATGAAAGCTTACCCCTTTTGTAACTTCCCCTCAAAATAATTACTTTAGCCAGCTGTTTCAGCTGTGTCAGTTAACTGAAATACAGAGATTGATGCTACTTTTTCTCTTTTTTTCTCTTTTGCCCCCCCCCCCCCCCCCCCCCCCCCACAGTAATAATTGACTTTTCTGATATTTTCCGTGTGTGACCAACACATATAAGGTAAGGTCAATGCAAGAGTGTTAATTCTGTTCGTCTTATGTTTTCTCAGGTTTTGGACATCACCTCTATTGGTCACAGAAAAAGAATCCTGGCTTCATTAGGAGACAAGCGACCAGAGACTACCAGTCCGGTATGAGTTTGTAATATTTTTATCATTCCATTACACCAGTTTGATTTGATTTGGTGTGAGCTATCTTGAAATATTAATACTGATAGTAGTGTTGATGATAATGTCAATAGTCAATTAATGATAATTAAAAAATTACTGAATTTATGTCCCTGCTTGAAAATCTATTTGTGCGATTTGAGGCAGACCGACCACTAAGCCATCAAGGTCATAATATCATCTGCAATTATTTTCTTTAATATTCTACACTCTAATTGTGTCCAGTTTGTTTTTATTAAATTTTTTAGGAAGTGAAAAAGATTTTTTCTTGCAATTGTTTCGCTGAAAAATTAAATATAAGTCTTCTGGTTAAATAGTTTTAAAAACTACACAGGTTTTCGGGTTTTTGTAATGAGGAAATCAAATTGATTGGGGAAATGATGCAGAATCCAGGTCTTGTTGACAAAAAAATATAAAAGATTTGTCTCTCTCCTCTTCCCATGGTTGTAAAGAATAGAATAGAAAAATCAAGCTAATTTTGTTTTTGGAGTAAAAAAAATTTCTGCTAATTATATGTTTATCTGTACTTGTCAACCATTCCCTTATTAATGACGCTTGTGTCTCCATACTCGTTTGCTTTTATTTTTTTTAAACTCCTAAATTCTTTCAAAATTGTCACATTCATGTTTTATTTTTCACAACAATGGTCAAGACCTTATAAGGGACATAACTTCGAAAGGTAGTTTTTCAGTCCTTCCCGAATTCTATGGTTATGTACCTTGGATTGTTATTTATTTATTTTCTTTTTTCTTTACTTTTATCTTCCTGTTATATGAAAATTACAGAGATAATTGTTCAAATTTACTGCATTTTTTGTATTGATTATTTGTCTTTTTTTCAGTAAGTCATAAATTTTATATTGTTATACGTTTTTAGATGTAAATTGCATTTGTTGTGGGTTAATTTATTATTTCTTTGCAGCTGAGATTTTGTTCAGGTTGCTTTCTCGATTGATTTGTGCCTGTCTAAATTACTGGATTAGATTGTCTAGTTATTGTCTGTACAGCTATTTTGTGCTGACTCTCTTCATAGATGTGGGAGAACACCATAGTAGGTCTTCTTTACTTTCCCTCTTGAAGTCTGTCAGATATCCTTTTTCCCAGCCCGGAATGACCTTTTTTGTGTCAATGTGCTTTTCAATACTTTAAGTCCAAAACTATGAGCCATCTTTCCTTCTGTCGACACAGGCGCGAACAAGAATTCCCAGTTCAGACGGTTTCCCTGAGTCCCGTTCTCCGTTTGACCATGTGGATCTGTTCAAAGACTACACGGGCGTACGCTCCAGGGTGGCAGATCCGGGCCAAGAGGTCATGGGACAGGGGCCATTACTAGACTTCGAAAATTCCAAGGATGGAGAGCATCTGAAGGTGAGCATTAGTATGATTTTGTGTGAGAGGATTTATGAGAGAAAGTATTATAATTTTTTGTGGTTGAATTGGTAATTTGAATGTCTATCTAGAGAAAGGACACAGTAATGGGTTGTTGGAGGGTGCTCTGGTGTGGTTTGCTCCTTCTTTCCTATCGAACATCTATTGTCCTGATCTCTCCTCCTTCTTTTTTGTGTTTGTTACTCTCTTGTAACACCTCTAGTCTTCGGCACTTATATGAACTTATTGGGTTGCAAGTGCCGTAAAACTCTACTAAAACAAACAAAAAGTCCCTGTTGTTTGAAATTTTTTTACATTGAAATAAGGGCATAATATTTTAACAAATTCAATGCTGAACACGCTTGTTTTTAAATTTTTCAAGTATCTCAGAGTTGGAGAAAAATTGCTTTAACCTTAGTATGTTAAACCAATATCTAGGGCCTTTTAGTTTTGACCTTTGGTGAAATACAACATGTTGCAAAAATAATTAATAAAAAAATATTTTGACTTAAGATATTGTAAAATTCTTTCAATATAATATTAAAAGATGGTTAACATGTGTTTTCTGATAGAACTATTTTTTTGACCAGGTACAACTTTTTGGCCTTTTCACCCCATTGCTCAAAAACTGTTTTGCCGACAACTAAGACCTTTCTACAGGCACACACACAATTTTGCTTAAGTTCTTTGATATGAAGTGTATGACTCAGTTCACAATAAGTGTGAATACTTCTAGGAAGATTATGGCATTCGTCTTTGAGATTGAAGTAAGTTACACTCTTCCAGCATACTTATGTTTTTGTATGGGGGAGGGAGGGGGGATGGGTGAGTGATTTAAGGAAAAACAGTTGTTTTATTGAGATGGGTTTTTTTGTTGGTATCTCTTGACAGTTGTTTCCTGATAGTATAAAATATATAAGACAAACCCATTCTGCCAGGGTAGGGGTAGAAGTTACTGAGCTCCGGAATGTTTTACACTTTATTTACAATAATTTACATTCATAAATCTTTTCTTTGGTTTTTGTTGTTGTTGATGTAAGCCCTAATAACAGTTTCTTCGCCAGTTCTACCGGAGGAAGGCATCACTGAGATGAACTTAGAAATACTGCCTCCCCCCCAGTCTCCCCCCCACGCCCTCTCTTTTCTCCTGTTGATATAAGCCAACCTCAATCAGAATGTAAAGGAAATGTGTATTCACCACCAATTGCACGATAATTTGTACAAGGGAGATCATTCTAAAAATATTTATAATTATATTGAGTTCTGTCCCCTAGACCACTCTTCGACGGGAATTGATTTATTTCTCCTTTAATTTCACCTCAGGGTCAGGGCATCCGAGACAGCTCCATCCACATCAGGGCCCCACACCTCATGCACTACACGGGGCCTATCAAGCAGTGGAGGCACAAGCCAGAGATCCTCATCAAGGGATGCTGCAACTACACTGCTCATGTGAGGATTGTACTGCTTTTTCCCTCTAGTTTAGTTATAGCTTTGGTGAGACTTTTAGGTCACCTGCAGCACAAATAGGTTATAAAAATGACAGAAATTAGAGGTGATACTATAGAGTAATAGTAATATACACAGAAAAGAGGATTTTTTTATGGAAAAGAAAGAGCTGGCCATGTACTGACTTCAACATAAGTTAAGGACCACCATGACAGATTGCCCTGACTTTTTGTTAATCTGAAGGAAAAAAAAAGACAGCTTGGAATGTTTCAAAATTTTATGCTCTTAAAGTGTTAATAGGTTGCCAATGCGTACTGCAATGCTTTCTATAGGGGCAAAACCATCACGTGCTTCACAGACATCCTCGGAAATTTTAGCCAAATTTGCTGTTTTTTATCGACTTGTGTGCGACACCACAGACATTCCTCAGTTAAAATTTCTGGTGCCCGTGGTAAACAGACGTTTAGTCTCCAACTGTGCTCACTCTGGTGGCAATATAAGCCGCCGTTTGCGCAAAAATCCAATATCGCATCAACATGCCAACAAGACGAAAGTTGAGAGACTTTGATAGTGCCTGAGCTATACATGGCTGCAGGATTGAGTTGGAGCCCGAAAAGTTTCCAGAAGGCTTGCAGTCACACACTCTGTCATTGTCTGCTTGAGGCAGCGCCATCACTCCACTGGATCTGTCCAAGAGCGCCAACGCCCAGGTGGACCCAAGAAGACCTCTCAGAGTGTTTGCAAGTGGTCCTTAACTTATGTTAAAGTCTGTAGGTCCACCTGCCAACTGCCCACGCCTTTTCCCTAAAAGTGGTAAAGTTTTACCTGCATTGAGATGACCAAAGCACGTCTCTGGCAGGTCTTGCTTTTTTCTTCCCACGTGTTGTTTCTGTCGGTCTTACATTTTCCCTTCACCAAATACACTTATCCTTTTCCTTATTAAGACACATTTTCTATATGTTGTTGGAGGGTGACACTGTTCAGTCATATTTCAAAACTGTCTTGCTAGTGATACTGCCTGTATGCCTTTCTTTTTCCTTGCTCCATGTGATATTGGTGTTTGCTATTTCCTAAATTTTTTTTTATATGTTCGTACAGTTTCAATTTTTTGTAGGCATTCATGCAGAATCTGAAAAGGCTTAATATTCTCCGGGATATTTATTGCTCTTTTAGAAATAATGATGCTTTATTTCTGTTTAGCTGCTTGTTTTAAAGATACCTCTTGATCATTATTTACTGTATAATTGAGCATGTGACAACAGTATTTTAAAAATGAAAATAGTCTCACTTAAATCATAATGAAACAAAATCTTTTCCTTCAGTATCTTGGCTCCACGCTTGTGAAAGATCTCAAAGATGTGATTTCCACTCAGGAAGGCATTACCAAGCTGAAGGTAAGATACTAACCCCCACCTTCTATACACACACACACACACACACACACACACACACACAAGCGCGCGCTCACACACACACACACACGCACACACACACACACACACACACACACACACACACGCACGCACGCACATGCTAACACACATACACTGAAACAGACGCAGAGACACGCTCACACACTCACACATTCACATTCATGCTTAAATATCTCAGTCAGAAATGTCAAACATGTAATAAGTACAGATATCGCTAGCAAGGCATTTATACAAGGGAGATAACCGTGAAATTTAACCTGATTTATTGAGTTATTTCCCGTAGACCTTTTTTTTAAATCGGGTCGTGTTACGACAGTTTGTCTGTCTGTCTTTCTCGCACTCTCTGTATATATCTCTTTCTCTCTCTCTTTCTAAACATGTGATGGTATGGTCAGTTGACTTCTATTATGTTGAGAGAGAAAGAGAGAGTGACGTCCATAATGTTATATGTTGAGAGAGAGAGAGAGAGAAATTGCAAAGTTGGTATTTCTGTGGGTAAACCTTTCCTATACCTCTCTTGGTATCATAATTGTGTTTCTATGCCTCTCTCTGTACTTCCTTCGTATCTCTTCTATACCTCTCCCAATACATGTCCATCCCAATTTCTCTCCGTACACATTTTAATCGTGACTCTCCTTTCTGTCTTCCCTCTAAATAAAGCATCGCTTACGAAGGAAATTACAGGTTTGATCGCTGTTTTGCTGTATACTGTAATTGATTGGCGTATATCTGTATGCTTCATTGTCCTCCCCTCCACTTTGCTTTCCTCCCGAATAGCCAGTGACTTGACTTTGTTGTATTTATTGTGGCAGCGGTGTTGTCATGCAATACTCCTGAATGTGTCAGGTTAGGTAATAAATGATTTGTATAATGATTAACCATACCTCTTCCCCCACCCTGACCGAGGTGAAAATGTAAAAATTGTTTTTAAAAATTTTTAAATTTTAAGTTAATTAGTTGGTTTGCAGCCTCCCAGAATAGTATTGTCTTGTTTGTAGATCTAATTGTCAAATAACAGGTTTGGGTGACGAAATAAAATGTGTTCTTGACTGGTGGGTGTTAATTCATTTTTTTTTTTTTTTCCGTTAAAAAAAAATATTTTTGTAACTTTAAAAAAGAATGTGGTGTGTGCGTGTGTGTGTATATGCGTGCATGTGTGTGAGTGTGTTTATAGGTGCCTGTGCGTGTATGTGTGTGTGTGTGTGTGTGTGTGTGTGTGTGTGTGTGTGTGTGTGTGTGTACTTTTATGTGTACGTGTTTGTTTGTGTGAGTATGAGTGTGACTATTTCGTTTTCCCATGAGTGTTGCATGTGACTGTTGTTAAAAGTCAGAACAGAAATAGAGCCTGGGGGTCACCTAGCCGGAATAGAATGCCACTCAGTGTTTGTGTTTATGTGTGTGCGTGCGTACTTGTGAGTGTGTCTGTGTGTGCATGTCTGTGTGTGCATGTATGTATACATGTGTATGTACCGGTGTTTTTATGTGTGTGTGTGTGTGTGTGTGTGTGTGTGTGTACGTGCGCGTGCATGTGTACGTACGTGTGTGTGTGTGTGTGTGTGTGTGTGTGTGTGTGTGTGTGTGTGTGTGTGTGTGTGTGTGTGTATGTGCGTGTATGTGCGTATAATATGTGTGGGTGTGTGTGTGTGCGTGCGGGTGCGTGTATGTGTGTTTGCGTGCGTATTTTATTTTCGTGTGATCACTGCATAATCAGACTAGTGTGAAGTAGAGCCAAGAGGACTGGCCCTAACAAGAACGTTGCTGTGTGAGGGACATGCTGGTGTTGTGCTGAAGCTGCAGACACTAATATTTGCATCCAAGAGTTAACTAACAAAAGTGTTATTATAGCTGTTGTAATTGTTGTTTTTGTTGTTGTTGTTATTGGTGTTGTTGTTGCTGCAGTTGTTGTACTTATTAATTTATGTTGTTACCTCTATTATGATCGTCACCACCATCATTATTATTTTTATTATTATTATTATTATTATTATTATTATTATTATTATTATTATTATTATTATTATTATTATTCATTATTATTATCATCATCATCATTATTATTATTATTATTATTATTATTATTATTATTATTATTATTATTGTTATTGTTGTTGTTGTTGTTATTATGGTAATAATATTTATCGTTATCACCATCTTTATTATCATTTTGTATTATTATCATTGTTATATTATTATTATTACTATTTCTTATAGAAATATGTTTTCTTTTTATTGTTGTTGTTGTTTCAACTGCATGTCGCCTTCTGTCGAACAACAATCTCTAACTGTTGTGGGGTTTGGAGGGGAAGGGAGGGGTGGGAGCTGAAAGGGGTAGAGAGGGCGGTTGGAGGTTTACGTTTCTTTCCAAGTTTCTGAATGGTTGCGCCACGTTTCAAACATTCTTGAAACCTCACAAGTCTTTCACTTCCCTGCATGAGATAAGTGTTCTGCTTTAAAAAAAAAAAAAACTCATTAAAAAAAACCGCGTTTTGTTTCAAGACAAGTTTGGTGGTGTGCGCGATGTGAAATATTTTCTGGAGAATTGGGAGGGGAGGGGTGCACTGCGATAATATCCCGAAATCGCACCTGTTCTATTGAATAGCAATTTAATTGATGACGTGGAACAGATTGTGTTTTGCTTTCGAAAGTAGGCGCGGTATGGTTTACTACTAATTAACTCACTTTAAGGACGTTTTGGATACATTATGTATAATATTCAGGGGCAGACGAAATGCAATGTTTCGTCACATTTTAAACTGTTGTACACGAATCGGAAATACAAATTTGCCTTATATTTTACAGCACCAATGTTCAATGTTGGTACCGGCTTTTTAAAAGTTTTTGTATAAAGAAAACAACTGAAAGACCTGCATGACTGATAAAGTTAATCATCGTCTTTTGTAGTTTCCCCAAAACGGCGTGTTCCCATGACCAGAGTGCGATTCCTCCATGAGTTGACTATTTAATGGATGAGCATGTCCTTCTTGTCCTGGTTCCTGTGCTGTATTGTGTGTTCGTATAATGAAATGCTATCGTTTAAGGTCGTTTTGAAGTACCAGTTTCCCCCTTTTGTTGTAGTGTAATCTGTGGATCTATAGATTACGCACGTGCTCGTTGTGATAACGGTCCTTGTTCAAATCTCCAAACTTGGGTGAATTTTTGTTGTTGGTGTCGTTGTTGGAGGGGGGGAGGGGGGTCGGGAGTGAGGAGGGGTGCTAAACCCCCACTAACCGCTGTCCTTTCATTGATGTCAGTTAAATTGGAGGTGCTCATTCTTGTTCAGTGTTGAAAGCGGCTTAAGAACTCGTACTGGACTTAATTAGGAAGCGCTTTTGTTGTGTCCCTGTACTACATGTACTTGCATTTGCTAATGGTTGGAGAGCTCCACTGGCAGGTCCGACTTACTTTCCTTCTGTCTATTGTTTCTGTCCGAAAAACTTGGTATTGTCCCTGCACATAATGACCGTTATCGCGTCGACACCTCTCTTCTGACCCGTGCCAAACCAGGCTTCTCACTCTCTCTCTCTCTCTCTCTCTCTCTCTCTCTCTCTCTCTCTCTCTCTCTCTCTCTCTCTCTCTCTCTCTCTCTCCTCTCCCTCTCCTCTCTCCCTGTTTCTCCCTCCCGGAGTTAGATTGTGATTTTTGAAACTTGTTTATTGAATGTGGCCCGCACTCTGTGCCAGTATATGGTTTTGCACTGCATGATGTAGACCCCTTTTGACCCCCACAGAGATAATCTATGTGAGCAACTGGACCGCCCCCCCCCCTTTTTTTTTAGATGCTATATTTTTTTCTTCTTCAAAAGGAAGTCAATTTTCCACAAGGCATAGTCTATGACATATTTCATGTTAAGGTACACACGATTTCATTATTTTCTGTTTTCCCAGCCTCAATGATATACGGTATCTCCATTACCGCTCTTTGGAGGGCATATTTTTTTCGTAACTGTTTCTCTGTTTTTGTTGTCTATCTTTTTTCCCCGTAGCACTTCGCTACTTCTGATTTACAAAGTTATATCTGGCAATTTTTGCCGTTTTGAGAAGTTTATTTGGAGTCCTTATCAAGATGTTCAAAGAATTGCATTCGAAAAAGCTTGACATGATGTGAAACTTACAAGTTACAGCCTTTGACGTCATGTGTCTCAAAACTAGGTACTGAGCAGATAGAACTTTGTAATTTCTGAGATAGCGTCTTATTGGCTCTGGTACTATTTCTATTGGACTTGACTGGCAGGTGACTTGAGGTTGCCGCTGATTGAACCTACTTCTTTTCTTTCCCTCTGTTGTTTCTTTTTCTCTGCACAACATGATTGTCATCGTGTCTTTTTGAAAGACAATTTTTCATGGATGGTTGGTGGATGCTCTGGTCATAGTATGATTTTCTCCTTCTTTCCAAATATCTATCTTCCTCATCCCTCCTCGTGGGTGGTTGGCGGGTGTTCTGGTGTGGTTTGCTCCTTGTTTCGTAGCAAACGTCTATCGTCCTTATTTCCCCTCCTTCCTTTTTGTGTTTGTTACTCTCCTGTAACACCTTTAATCTTCAGCACCTAAATGACCTTATTGCTTTGCAAGTGTTGTAACACTCTTACTAAAACGTAACTAATTATCCCTCCTCTTTCTTTTCTATGCATGTTGCTCTCCTGTTACATCTTTAATATTTGGCGCTTGTATGATCTTATTGTGTTGCAAGTACCGTATAAGTCTTACTTTTCACCTGAGACTTGTGACGCTTTAAGTTGTAAACTTTGTATACTCGCGGAGGTCGGCTCATTCCAGCCTGTTTACAATGATTTTTTTCCGCGTCTGTGGTGGAACAATCAGGTTCGTTGCTGTTGAACGTAAAGATGCGCGTTCGAGTCCCCCGCGAGGAAGTCTTATTTTGTCGAGCGTCCCGTTATTATTTCTGATGAGATATTGTACCCGACCCAGCCCGAGTTGGCCGTGAAAGGCAGGAACGAACCGTCCAGTCTCCTAAATGGCTAGAATCTTGTTCGATGGAGGAGAGTAAACCATTTGCAATCCAATCGAATCTTGAATTATATCTCCTGATGCCCGGTTTCCTGCCGAAAGGCTCCCAAGTTCTCCAAGTTCTTCTCCTTTGAAAAGAAGCATTCTCATGTCCAGTAGGGCGTTAAAGTTGGAAGAAAAACAAGAGAGAAAAAAACCTCCTGGACAACTCGGCCACACACACACTCTCACACCGCTCTTCAACTTCACCGTTAATTGAACATATTATCAGCTACGAGCCACCAGTTTGATTTATGAACAGATTCGTATCCGTCCCTATGTGACAGTTCCTTCTGTGGCCGATTCGTTCGCGTCAAGTTGACTCGGTACGAGAGAAACTGTCGGTCCGCTCCCTCCCCCTCTCCCCCTGACAGATAATAGGAGGGCATTCTTTTCTATTTTCATTTGCGAAGACAAGCAAGAATAAAGATTATTTCAGAATTAGTTCCTTGGCCGTCTGGCACCAAATGAGCATCATCAATCTTTTTAATTGTGTTTCAAGTGGGATAGGGATGTACGCATGAACGGCTGTTTTCACCCACGTTACGCACTTTGAGACAATAAGGAGGGGAACAGTGGTGCTTCTTCTTTTTCAGAAAAAAAAAGAATGAAAGGGATGGTGTTGAAAAGGTGCTGGGGGTGGGGAGGGGGGAGGGTTGGGCAGAACTGTGTATGGTTGTTGAGAAAGACCGAGAGAAAAGGGATGGCCAAGTTAAAGGCTTGAGGAAGTAAAATCGAGTTCTTAAAAAAAAAGGAGAGGAGAGAGAGTGAAGACGCGAGGTGCCGGACCTGTGAAAAATGAAGAAAGAGGGGGATGAACATTAAAAATTTAATGTGAAAAATTACTTTTTCCCCTTGCGTGGGTTCGGAGCTAAAGCCATAATGGGTCTTGCCGTTCCCGGGGTGTGCGATAGGCTGGCTTGTAGCTTCTGCTTCTCCCCTCTGGTTCTGCCGGAGTCTGAGAGGAGTTCAAGCGTGAGAGCTTCAAAATCCAATCTCTCCTCGCTCACGCCTCCTTCCTTCGGGCTTCTGTCTCTTTCTGGATGGCTTTCTCCGGCCAGGTCGACTCCTCGTCCTCCTCTTCTCCCTCCTCTTCCTCTTCCTTGTCCCGTCCTTCCTCTTCTCTTTCCGTTTTTTAAATACCGTTTATTTCCTTCCACGTCGTCCTTTTTCTCATTCTTTGTCGACTTTGCCCCTCCCCCCCCCAGTCTTTAAAAAAAATTTCTCTTCTTCTTCTTCTTCTTCTTCTTCTTCTTCTTCTTCTTCTTCTTCTTCTTC